AACTGACCAACAGAGTTCAGTAACACACAGCCAGTCAGCAGACTGTGACACCAGCTGTAAGAATAACTTAAACTGGAAGATAATCAATTCCCCCAGTCGCCATCCTTACCCCAGTACAGAAATACCTTACACACGGGCAGCCATCCTTCCAACACAGAAATCCTTCCCCAGTTCAGCAATCCCTTCCCCAAAGTCAGCCATAAGTCCACCAGTCAAGCCCCATCCTTCCCCCGTCAGCCATCCTTCCCCCAGTCAACCATCTTCCCACAGCCAGCATCTTCCCCCTGTCGCCATCCTTCCCCCAGTCAGCCATCCTTCCCCCAGTCAGCCATCCTTCCCCCTGTCAGCCATCCTTCCCCCTGTCAGCCATCCTTCCCCCAGTCAGCCATCCTTCCCCCAGCCAGCCACCTCCCACAGCCACAAGCCATTTCCTCCCCCTGTCAGCCATCCTTCCCCCAGTCAGCCATCCTTCCCCCCAGTCAGCAATCCTTACCCTGTCAAGCAATCCTGCCCCTGTCAGCCATACTTACCCCAGTCAGCCATCCTTCCCCTGTCAGCCATCCTTCCCCCTGTCAGCCATCCTTCCCCCAGCCTGAGAGAGACGAAATTACACTCACACACCACATAAAATACAACACCACACACACTTCAGGTTCACTTCCACTTCACTCTGTAACCTTTTACAAGCTCTTAGATGAAAAAAGAGAAGGATGCCCTAAATAAGATATCCCTCTGGGCAACACGTACAGCACATCTGTTGGTGTGTGTGTGTGTGTGTGGGTGTGGCGGTGTGTGCGCTGGCTGTTTGGTGTGTGTTATGGAAGCCCCTCGCATGTGCAGGAAGTGGGTGGTGCCGCTGCTCCCCGCTGAGTGAATGAATTGTCGACAGAAACGTTCAGGCTTTGAAAAATCTTGTCCGAACAGAAGGAATGTAAAACGAATGGCAGCAGTGTTGTGCTTCCCAAAAGGCACCCTATTCTCATTGTAGGGCACTACTCTTGCCAGGGCCCATAGGGCTTTCTGGGAAAAAGAAGGGCAAAGATAGAGGGGAATATATGTGGGCCTGGGGGGAAGAATGACTGTTATGTTAAAAAGGGGACGAGAGAAACAAGTGAATCCAATCACAGGTATCTTAGCAGAGGCGAGAGGAAGAGAGAGAGAGCAGAGAGAGAGAGAGCGAGAGGCGGAGAGAGAGAGAGAGAAGAGAGAGAGAGAGAGAGAGAGAGAGATCGAGATAGTAGAGAGCGAGAGCGAGAGCAGATAGCTCTCTGCTCCTCTCTCGCTCTCTCTATCTCTCTCTCCTCTCTCTCCAATTTCCAATTTACGGGCTTTATTGGCATGGGAAACGTGTGTTAACATTGCCAAAGCAAGTGAAGTAGATAGTAAACAAAAGTGAAATAAACAATAAATATTATCTCTCTAGTACATGCTAACATACTTTCTGTGAGTGGCAGTACATTACATTCCCTGCTGAGAATAGCCACTGGGTATGGACTAGGGGGCTGATGAAACAGCACAGTCTGGGTTGTCATTAAGAGAGAGTGAAGTGAGTGTGTTAACATAGCATCAGTCATTAACCAATTACACAGCTAGAGAGCGCAGAGGGGCCGGCACATGAAGAACAAACAGCTCCATGTCAGGCTGATCTCAGGTCAGTGCTTAGTTCCTTGTAGTGATGGGAAGGGAGGGAGGGAGGAAGAGGCAGAGAGATGGAGGGAGAGAGAGAGAGGAGGGGAGAGGATGATAGGGGGAGGAGAGGAAGAGGGGGGGAGGAGAGAGGGAGAGGGAGAGGAGAGAGAGAAGGGGAGGAGAGGGACAGAGGGAGAGAGGGGATGGAGAGATGGGGAGTAGAGAGGGGGAGGAGATGGGGCTGTAATAAGTGTCAGACTGACTGCATTCTCCTGTGCCAGTGTTCAAACAGATGGTGGGGCTGCAGCCCCCTGCCCTGCTCATAAACACACAGGGCTCACACATAGTGTACAGTAGGAACTGATATCACACTCACTCACATACACACGCGCAAATAGATCCACAAACACGATGCGTACTCACACACAGAGAGTCATGTCACAGCACAGTTGCTTTGGGCTTCCTGTCCTCCTGTCCTCCTGACCTCCTGACCTCCTGTCCTCCTGTCATCCTGACCTCGTCATTCTGTAATCCTGACCTCCTGTAATCCTGACCTTCTGTCATCCTGACCTCCTGTTACTCTGACCTCCTGTCCTCCTGTCATTCTGACCTCCTGACTCCTGTCATCCTGACCTCATCATTCTGTCATCCTGACCTCCTGACCTCCTGTCATTCTGACCTCCTGTCCTCCTGTCATTCTGACCTCCTGTTCATCGGACTCCTGTCCCCTGTCATTTCTGCTCCTTTCCTCCTGACCTCCTGACCTCCTGTCATCCTGACCTCATCATTCTGTCATCCTGACCTCCTGACCTCCTGTCATTCTGACCTCCTGTCCTCCTGTCATTCTGACCTCCTGTCATTCTGACCTCCTGTCCTCCTGTCATTCTGTCCTCCTGTCCTCCTGACCTCCTGACCTCCTGTCATCCTGACCTCATCATTCTGTCATCCTGACCTCCTGACCTCCTGTCATTCTGACCTCCTGTCCTCCTGTCATTCTGACCTCCTGTCATTCTGACCTCCTGTCCTCCTGTCATTCTGTCCTCCTGTCCTCCTGACCTCCTGACACCCTCCTGTCATCCTGACCTCATCATTATGTACATACGACCTCCTGACCTCCTGTCATCCTGACCTGCCTGTCCTCCTGTCATCCTGACCTCCTGTCATCCTGACCTTCCTGTCCTCCTGTCATCTGACCTCCTGTATCCTGACCTATGTCCTCCTGTTCATCGACTTCCTGTCACCTGAACTCGTTTACTCGACCTCATGTCATTATGACCTCTGACACCTCCTGACTTCTGCCCTCCTGTCATCTGCCCTCATGTAATCCTGACTCTGACCTCCTTGACTCCAGTCATTGACCCTCCTCATGACCTCCTGTCACCCTGACCTCCCTGTCACTTCTGACCTACTGTCATCCTGACTCATGCATCCTGTTCATCCTGACCTCCTTGTCATCCTGTACTCCTGTCATCCTGACCTCCTGACCTCCTGTCCTCTTGTCATTCTGACCTCCTGTCATCCTGACCTCCTGTCATCCTGACATCGAACTCCCCTGACATCCTGACATCCTGTCATCCTGACCTCCTGACCTCCTGACCTCTACTGACCCCCCTCCAGAGAATATAAGACTAAGCAGGAGATCTGTCTCTCGCTCTCTCTATCAACCCCTCTCAATAAAATTAAATTCAATTTAAGGGCTTTATTGGCATGGGAACGTATGTTAACATTGCCAAAGCAAGTGAAGTAGGATAGTAAAACAAAGTGAAATAAACATAAATATTAACAGTAAACATACACTCACAAAAGTTCCAAAAGAATAAATACATTTCTAATGTCATATTATGTATATATACAGTGTTGTAACAATGTGCAAATAGTTAAAGTACAAAAGGGAAAATAAATCAACATAAATATGGGTTGTATTTACAATGGTTGTTGTTCTTCACTGGTTGCCCTTTTTGTGGCAGCAGGTCACAAATCTTGCTGCTGTGATGGCACACTGTGGTTTTCACCCGTAGAATATGGAAGTTTATCAAAATTTGGTTTGTTTTCGAATTCTTTGTGGATCGCTGTAATCTGAGGGAAAATATGTGTCTCTATATGGTCATACATTTGGCAGGAGGTTAGGAAGTGCAGCTCAGTTTTCCATCTCATTTTGGGGGCAGTGTGCACATAGCCTGTCTTCTCTTGAGAGCCATGGTCTGCCGACGGCGGCCTTTCTCAATAGCAAGGCTATGCTCACTGAGTCTGTACACAGTCAAAGCTTTCCTTAAGTTTGGGTCAGTCACAGTGGTCAGGTATTCTGCCACTGTGTACTCTCTGTTTAGGGCCAAATAGCATTCTAGTTTGCTCAGTTTCTTTGTTATTCTTTCCAATGTGTCAAGTAATTCTCTTTTTGTTTTCTCATGATTTGGTTGGGTCTAATTGTGTTGCTGTCCTGGGGCTCTGTGGGGTCTGTTTGTGTTTGTGAACAGAGCCCCAGGACCAGCTTACTTAGGGGACTCTTCTCCAAGTTCATCTCTCTGTAGGTGATGGCTTTGTTATGGAAGGTTTGGGAATTCTTCTCCTGACAGTATAGTGTAGCGTTGTAGTCATCATGTTTCTATTCACTTTCTATATTGACTGAATACCCAGAGTTATTCACTACATTGACTGAATACCCAGAGTTATTAACTATATAGACTGAATACCCAGAGGTATTCACTACATTGATGGAATACCCAGAGTTATTCACTATATTGACTGAATACCTGGAGTTATTCACTATAGAGACTGAATACCCAGAGTTATTCACTATATTGACTGAATACCCAGAGTTGTTAACTATATAGACTGAATACCCAGAGTTATTCACTTAGAGGACTCCCCAGAGTATAACTATATTGACGAATACCCAGAGGTATTCCACATATATTGAACTGAATACCCAGAGGATTTCACTTATATTGACTGAACTACCCAGAGGTATTCACTATATAGACTGAATAACCAGAGTTGTTCACTACATTGACTGAATACCCAGAGTTATTCACTATATAGACTGAATACCCAGAGTTATTCACTATATTGACTGAATTCCCAGAGTTATTCACTAGATTGACTGAATAACGAGAGTTATCACTATATTGACTCTGAATACCCAGAGTATTCACTATATCGACCCCCTGAAATACCCAGAGTAGTCACTAATTGACTGAATACCCAGAGTTATTCACTATATCGACTGAATACACAGAGTTATTAACTATATCGACTGAATACCCAGAGGTATTCACTACCTTGATGGAATACCCAGAGTTATTCACTATATTGACTGAATACCTGGAGTTATTCACTATATTGACTGATACCCAGAGTTATTAACTATATAGACTGAATACCCAGAGTTATTCACTATATTGACGGAATACCCAGAGTTATTCACTATATTGACTGAATACCCAGAGGTATTCACTATATTGACTGAATACCCAGAGGTATTCACTATATTGACTGAATACCCAGAGGTATTCACTATATAGACTGAATAACCAGAGTTGTTCACTACATTGACTGAATACCCAGAGTTATTCACTATATCGACTAAATACCCAGAGTTATTCACTACATTGACTGAATACCCAGCGTATTCACTAGTATAGAATACCAGAGGTATTCACTATAATGACTGGAATACCCAGAGGTATTCACAATGGACTGAATACCCAGAGGTATTCCTTAGGACGAAATACAGAGTTGTTCACTACATTGGACTGAATACCCAGAGTTATTCACTATATCGACTAAATACCCAGAGTTATTCACTACATTGACTGAATACCCAGAGTTATTCACTACATTGACTGAATACCCAGAGTTATTCACTATATCGACTGAATACCCAGAGTTATTCACTATATAGACTGAATACCCAGAGTTATTCACTATATCGACTGAATACCCAGAGTTATTCACTACATTAACTGAATACTCAGAGTTATTCACTATATTGACTGAATACCCAGAGTTATTCACTACATTAACTGGAATTCCAGAGTTATTCACTATATTGACTGAATACCCAGAGTTATTCACTACATTGACTGAATACCCAGAGCTATTCACTATATCGACTGAATACCCAGAGTTATTCACTATATCGACTGAATACCCAGAGTTATTCACTATATAGACTGAATACCCAGAGTTATTCACTATATCGACTGAATACCCAGAGTTATCACTACATTAACTGAATACTCAGAGTTATTCCTAATTGACTGACTACCGAGTTATTCACTACATTAACTGAATACCCAGAGTTATGACACTATATGACTGAATACCCAGAGTTATAACTAGACTAGACTGAATACCCAGAGTTATTCACTATAGTGACTGAATACCCAGAGTTATTCACTATAGTGACTGATTTGAAAACTGAAACGACCCCTACCCTGGTTTTGTTATAAGATCACTGCTCGCAACTTTATCTACTATAACTCTATTGGAGCATAGGACCTTAGGAGAACGGACCTGTACTCCGCTGTTATTGCATCCTATAACACAGCATCAGGTGTTTATAGGGCAGGGTAGAGTATAGGTAGGGGACAGCACAAGCTCAGGGATTCCTGATAGGGCAGGGTAGAGTAGGGACAGCACAGCATCAGGTGATCCTATAGGGCAGGGTAGAGTAGGGTCATCCAGGGGAACACACCTCATAAATAAAGCCCATAGGCAATATACTCCACACCACTATTACAGCGAGCTGTGGCCAGACAGAGCCCGACCCGGTCACTGGACAGGGAACCGCTGCTCTTCCTCCTCCCAGACTGACTCATTAACTGGGAATAAAAAGGTTAGCGCCTGAACGGAACCCCCTGGCTGCACCCCGCCCTTAGAGCCGACCAATAAACAACCTCGGATGAGCAACAGGCTGGAACGTACGCCAATCACGCGCCAGACACCGCTCGCCAGACGCTGCAGTCCCTCAGTGAAAACACACGAACACAAATGCACACACACACCAACACACACAAACAAACACACGCACGCACACACACCCACACACACACACACTAACAAACGCACACACACAAACAAACACACACCCGCACAACATCTGCGTCACGGCCTCTGAACAGAGGAATAAATTGTCCACTTTTCCTCTCCTCTTCTATAAAATCATCTTTCTTCATTTCCTTTCCCCCCCATCTTCATAACATCTAGAAGAAATGCACTCAAAAACACAATCAGTTGGACATTCAATCCCCACACCAGAGGGAGGGAGGGAGGAGAGGGAGGGAGGAGGGAGGGAGGAGGAGGGAGAGAGGAGAGAGAGGAAGCAGAGAGAAGGAGAGTGTCGGGAAGAGAGAAAGAGAGAGCAGAGGATGAGAAAGAGAGAGCAGAGAGAGAGAGAGAGAGGGAGAGAGAGAGAGAGAGAGGAAGAGAGAGGGGAAAAGAGAGAGCAGAGAAAGAGCGAGGAAGAGATAGAGAGAGGGAGAGAGGAGCTAGAGAGCTAAGTAGTAGAAGAGATGAGAGAGGAAGGCAGCAACAGCAAAGGAAGAGAAAAAGGGGGGAGTAAAAGCTTACACAGCAAGCCACTTTATTCAGCTAATGTCTCGTGAGAGGTAAAAAAGGAGAGGGAGGGAGGGAGGCAGAGGGATATAGCGAGAGGAGCGAGAGAGAGAGACGTGAGAGAGAGAGAAGCGAGAGAGAGGAGAGAGGAAGAGAGAGAGCGAGGAGAGAGAGAGAAGGCGAGATCTCTGATAGAGAGAAATCTCTATATATAGCTATACTTCTATATCATTTAGGCTATCTCTATCTAGCTATATCTCTCTCGCTCTCTTCTCTCTCTATCTCTCTCTCTCTCTCCGCTCTCTTCTCTCTCGCTCTATAGCGAGGGTTTGTCACAAGCAGGAACATTCCCAACAAAAACACAACACACAAAAGATGAGGTGATGGAAAGAGTGTGATGGCTTATAAGGAATCGGCAGACAGAGAGAGGGGAAGAACAACTGTCTAGAGTGTTGATAGGCAGTTAAGAAAGGCCTGGAGGTTGTGGTCGTGTGTGTGTTGAATAGCAGTAAGAAGGGCCTGGAGGTGTGTGTGTGTGTTGAATATGCAGTGTGAAGGCCTTGAGAGCAGCAAGGAGGCCAACAGTGGTCTCAGCTGAAACAGGAGACTAACTTCAGAAACACATACACACATGGCCAATTACAGTGGAATTACACACACACACACACACACACACACACGCACACACTGCAACACACACACCCCCACACAACCACACCACACATGCACACACTGCACACACACACCACCACACACACCACACCTGCTTCTCTTGTAGTGCTGAGTGATTAACCGTCATTTCAGTTTTTTTTCCCCCGGTTATTAAACAACTAATTGACCGACGTTGGTTCAATTACTTGAATTCCATTTAGTTGGGTTTTTTTTGTGAGCCTAAAGCGCCGTTTCTCTAGAGAGAAATCAAATCATTCACGAGAGAGTGGGACTCTGGGCTGAAGGGAGTTATAGTTCATTATCAACCTAGTTCAGCGCAGAAAGAAAAAGAACGTGTAATTAAAACTTACAATGACCCATAATCCATTGCGCCGGTTTATTCCGGCTTCACGGCAGCGAGAGATGGGGGATACACTTTTACGTTAGGTTAGATACACACAGAGCACATCGACCGCATGATGAGAGAGAATGTACACAAACCCAAAGATGAGAGAGAGGGACAGAGACAGTGGTGGAAGGATGTTCTTATATTACTTTGAAGAACTAGTAAAATGATTTAGTCAGACAGCTCTGCAGCATGTTAGGCAGGCTAGCTTAGCTAAATAGGATGACTAAAGACAGTACCGTATGGGGAGCAGAGAGAACGTTGTCTGGGAGCAGAGAGAACGTTGTCTGGGAGCAGAGAGACCGTTGGCTGGGAGCAGAGAGACGTTGGCTGGGAGCAGAGAGAACGTTGGCTGGGAGCAGAGAGAACGTTGGCTGGGAGCAGAGAGACCGTTGGCTGGGAGCAGAGAGAACGTTGGCTGGGAGCAGAGAGAACGTTGGCTGGGAGCAGAGAGACCGTTGGCTGGGAGCAGAGAGAGCAGAGAAGAACCGTTGGCTGGGAGCAGAGAGAAGTTGGCTGGGAGCAGAGAGACCGTTGGCTGGGAGCAGAGAGAACGTTGGCTGGGAGCAGAGAGAACGTTGGCTGGCTGGCGGCTGCTATTGCCTGAGCAGAGATGAGATTATGACTTTTAAGGAATAAAGTAATCAAATAAAAACTAAGTAAAGCTTTTGTATTATTTCATAGTAATTTAAATTATTTCTATTGATGTCTACCCAATGTGGATCTGACAGAAACAATGGAATATTTTCAATGTTTTGGCAACCTAATGAACGTTCACTTCATTTGGCTTCGGAATTTCCATTAAAAAGCTCTAAAATCATTTTAATGTCATTATTTCATAATTAATTTAATGTAAAAAAAAAAAATCTAAACCAAAATAGAAAACTGTGATTAGTTTTTAAAGAATCAAGCGAAACCGAACCGACCCCAAAAAGCACTAATTGCTCAGCACTATTCTCTTGTGGAATATCAGTCTCCTACTGACTGATTGGTAGACTGGTGTATCTCAGTAAAGGTCAATGGTGCAACAGTCATTTCACAGACAGCTGGGAGGGAGTAGGAAGATATCAGACAGGTAGGAGGAGAGTAGGAAGATATCAGACAGGTCGGTAGGAGAGTAGGAAGATATCAGTGAGCAGGTAGGAGGAGAGAGCAATATTATGCAGACCGGTCGGATGAAGCGGAAGATATCAACACGGTAGCAGAGGAGATATCAGACAGGTAGGAGGATAGTAGGAAGGATATCAGACGGTAGGAGGAGAGAGGAAAGATATCAGGCAGGTAGGGGAGGAAGAGGAAGATATCAAGAACAGGTGGAGGAGAGAGGAAAGATATTCAGACAGGTAGGATGCGAGTAGGAAGATATCAGACAGGTAGGGAGGGAGAGATGGAAGCTATTTCACTTCGCAAGGGTAGGAGAGAGAGGGAAGATTATCAGACCGGGTAGTGCGTGGGGTGAGGATAGAGGAGATAATCAGACAGTAGGAGGAGAGAGTGGAATCAGAATCAGACAGTGTCTGGGAGAGAGATGGAAGAGTATCAGACGTTTTCTGTCAGAATGAAGGGAAGATTATGCAGACGGCGAGGGTATGAGGAATATTATTAGAGATATCGACAGGTGGAGGAGAGTACGGAAGATATCAGACCGGTAGGGAGGAGAGAGGCAGATCGACATCCAGGTAGGGAGGAGAAGTAGGAAGATATCAGACAGGTATGAGAAGAGAAGATATCAGAGACAGCTGGAGGATAGAGGAAGATATCACGGTGGAGGGAGAGTAGGAAGATATCAAGACGGTAGGAGGAGAGTAGTAAGATCTCAGAACAGGTAGGAGGAGAGAGGAAGATATCAGACAGGTAGGAGGAGAGAGGAAGATATCAGACAGGTAGGAGGAAGTAGGAAGATATCAGACAGGTAGGAGGAGAGTAGGAAGATATCAGACAGGTAGGAGGGAGAGGTAGGAAGATTATCAGACAGGTAGGAGAGAGTATGAAGATATCAGACGTTAGGAGTCAGAGTAGGCAGATAATCAGACAGGTAGGAGGATAGTATGAAGATATCAGACAGTTAGGAGGATAAGAGGAAATATCAGACAGTATGAGTAGATAGGAAGATCTCAGACAGGTAGGAGGAGAGAGAGGAATCAGAACGGTATGAGATAGAAGGCAGATATCATACAGGTAGGGAGGAGAGAGGAAGATATCAGACAGGTAGGAGGAGAGTAGGAAGATATCAGACAGGTAGGAGGAGAGAGGAAGATATCAGACAGGTAGGAGGAGAGAGGAAGATATCAGACAGGTAGGAGGAGAGTAGGAAGATATCAGACAGGTAGGAGGAGAGAGAAGATATCAGACAGGTAGTAGGAGAGTAGGAAGATATCAGACAGTAGGTGAGAGAGGAGATTATCACCGGTAGGAGGAGAGAGGAAGAATATCAGACAGTTAAGGAGGAGAGTAGAAGATATCATACAGGTAGGAGGAGAGTAGGAAGATTATCAGACGGTTAGGAGAGAGAGGAAGATATCATACAGGTAGGAGGAGAGGTAAGATATCAGACAGGT